TAATTTTTAATAATAATTATTATATAAGATAATTAATAAATGAATGTTTGATCTCTACAATACTCCCCCACAAAAGGCGGAGCCGTTTAAAAATAAAAATATTCATTTCGTTGGTTGAATGTTATTCGCCTCCCTTTTCTGGAGTGTTGGGTTGTTGGTTCCGATGTGGTTGACGTCGGTCTTGTTTCTTGTGTTGTTGTTGCGCCTGATATCGGTGTTGCTGTTTCTGGTGGTTCAGTAGATTTTGTGTCTGATGTTGCTGGTTTTGTTAAATCTGTTGTAGAAAGTTTGTTGTTCGTTGTCGAATTATTCTCGTTTTTTATTCTGGTTTTGGCTGTTGAAGGTAATGATAAACAAGCTGGCTTTAATCGATCAATTGACACATTTTGAAAATTTCCTGGTAACAATTCAATTTTAAAGTATTTATCGTTACGTTCAATCACTTTGAAAGGGCCTGTATGTGGTGCTTCCAGTGGACAACGTACTCGATCTACTCTTAACCATACGTGACTACTGTTTGGAAGGTCATTTGGTACGTAAGCTTTTGGGGTAGAGTGATGTTGATTGTTAGTTGTTAGGTAGTCATTAAGTTTAATGTTAATGTTATTGCTGGAGATATTCCATTTTGTTGGGATGATTGTGACTGCTGCGCCTGTATCTACTATTAATTTTAATGTTATGCATCCAATTCTTGCGACAACTTCAAAAAGAGGCGAGCCGATTGATGCGACTTCGGCTCGATTTTCCAACGGCTGGGGTGAAGAAATGTTGTTTGTGGGTGATCTCATCTGGGTTGGAGATGGAGGTCTTGAAGATGGTTGAATTTGTAAACTTTTTTTGTTTGGCCATCTGCACCATGGTTTGCACGTTTTCGATTTGTCACCAAAATATATGTGACTTCGGCAGATTTGAGTGCGTTGGTCTTTATATAATGGGCGAACGTTGATTGGGATGTTGGTATCAGGAATGCTGTTTGTTGAACTCGTTTTGTTTGAAAAGTGTGTGTTGTTGTAGTTCGTGGTTTCTTTGTTCATAGCGTAAATTTCGTTTTTAGCTAAATTCCCCAGTCGCTGTAGATCGAAATCTTTTTGAGCTGCTATGACTGGCGAAATTGTTGTTGGGACGCACGAGTTCGTCTCCCACTCCAATTTTATTGGCCGTTGCTAATAATTCTTGCAAGTAGTGTGATGGTCTGCCGGTCATTTTATTATCTCCGATCAAGCAAGCGAACATTTCTGGTTTTGTTCTTTCGTAAATCGTTATCACCGCTGTTTTGAGGTCGTCATAATTTTTATCATGAAACAATTGCTGTGATAATTTTGCAACCAAATCTGCCGATAGCAATGATAGAATATGATAAAATTTTGTTTCCGATGAGCTAACTTTTTGGAGATGAAATTGAGCTTTAGCGATTGCAAACCATTTTGTCGATGCTGTATCCATAAAGGTGGGCAACTTGATGGATATCATGTCGATATCATTTAATCCTGATTCTGCCATGTTAAAAATTTATTACTGGCAACTCTTTGATTCACGTCAGAAGAATCACGTGGGACTTCTGTTCAAATCACGTGGAATTTTCGTTCATATCACGTCAGGATTTTTGTTCAGATCACGTCGGGGTCACAAATTTGTAAAAACTTCTGCTACTAACAAGACATCTTGTTGTGAGTTAAAATAAATAAAACAAACACAATTCAGGCGTAATAAAATATTAACTTTATTTTAACGTGAATCTCGAACCGTTTCGTTTACAAGCTCACAGGAGAAAAAAGGAAAGAAGTCGAGAGAGAAGCAGAGACATACAAATTAACATAGATTAGGTAACATTGAAAATTGCAATAATTTTTAATAATAATTAATGCATAAGATAATTAATAAATGAATGTTTGATCTCTAAACTTGCATGGTTATGTGTGATTGACATTAAAATAAACTTCCATGCATTTTTGTGCACGAATTTTAACATATAAGACTTAACATGAAGGCATTAAACAAACTTTCATGCATTTATTTGCACGTATTTTAACATGTATATTAAGACTGTTAATTATTAGAATTATAAAAATATTTATGATTTAAAGTGAAATTTTGAAAATAAGTTTTAAAAATAATAACTGTCATCAATTATTTAATAACTTTTGTATGGTTGAAATTGTAATTTCGGTACGTTTTTAAAGAAAAAGTTTATGTACATTGTAGGCAATAAAGAAAACGCATATTCTTGCGTGCTTTTGTACGGTAAGCATTAAAATAACCGGAACCGGGTCTCTGAACGCAAAACGAAGATTGATTGACTTCCATGCATCGAGAGGCGTAGGCACTGAAATTAACCGACAAATTTGAATAAAAGCGTTTACATGATGAAAAATGACTTCTGGGCTGCGTTCTCTGACACCATCTCAACAATACCAAAATCTGAAACAATCCTGATTGGAGGCGATCTCAATGGCCACGTTGGAGAGAAAACAGATGGTTTGGCAACGTACATGGCAGTTTTGGCTATGGAGAACGGAATGAAGATTGCAACCGCATCCTTGAGTTTGCTGAAAGTCACGGGTTTTGTTTACTGAACACATATTTTAAAAAGAGGTTGGACATATAAAAGTGGACCATCTGCCACGCAAATTGATTTCTTCGCTGTCTAGCAACAAGACCGAAGGCTATTCAAAAATTTCAAAGTTATACCTGGCAAATCATGTATCGCCCAACATAGATTCCATGTGGCAGACCTGGTTGTCAAACTGTCAGAACATAAGTCTAAACAAATACCTCGGAGAATCGAAACGTGGAAACTGAAAAGCAAATTTCAACAGAAATCGCAGGCCAGTACAGATTGGAGTACATACAAAACCGTTTTGATAAACGCTGCCACTACAGTTTGTGGGAAAAGTGGTACAAAACGTCAGCATGAACGGAACACTTGGTGGTGGAATGACAGTGTACAAAGTGCAATAGCTGAAAAGAAAGCTGCATACAAGCAATGGCAAAAATCAAAGTCTGTTGATGACCATAACATTTTCCGGGAGAAGAACAACTATGCAAGACGCACTGGCACGGACAGATCAGTGCCGAGAGTGACTAACTAAAAACAAAGGTGAACAAGTGAAATCTCTGTATGGTATAGCAAAACAAGCAAAGCGTACGAAAAAAGGCATAGTTGGTGCCTCATGTATCAAATACGACAAAAATGAGATGGTTCTTGAACAAGATGAGATCAAGTTACAATTGAGAGAATAATCGTCTGTTAAATGAAGCAAAACTTATCAATGTCAACTTTGACGCTCCACCCATCGAAGGTCCGATTTCAGACATCACTGTAGAGGAGCTTACAGAAGCTCTGAAAGCTATGAAGGATGGAAAGGCAGCAAGGCCCTCTGGACTCACAAATGACATTATCAAAGCATCTGGTACTGCAGGTATCCAAACGTTACTACAACTTTGTCGTGAAGTGTGGAGAAATTGCTCAATGCCGACTGAATGGAATTATAGCATGACAAAGGTGATCCATTGAACTGTTCATCATATCGGGGTATACGTCTATTAGAACACTTCATGAAAATTGTCGAGAAAATCATTGAGAGAAGATTAACGTCGTGCATTACAATCGGAAAATCAACAATTGATGCAATTCACATCCTTCGGCAACTGCAAGAGAAGTACCTCGCAAAGCTTCAACAACTATCACACATTTTTGTAAACCTTGAAAAAGCATTTGATCGAGTTTCCCGTGAAGCAATCAGGTGGAGTCTACGTCGACATCTCATTCCAGAATATCTTGTTCGACTTGTGATGGAAATGTATACGAATACTAAGACTCTTGTCAGCACAACGGTTAGAAACACAGATGCATTTGACATCGGCTTTGGAGTTCACCTAGGCTCGATTTTTAGCCCACTGTTATTTATAACTGTGATGGAAGAAATCACAAAACCGATACGCACTGGTGACATTTGGAATCTAATAAATGCTGATGATATCGTTTTAACAGCCACGTCTGAGCAGAATGCAGCACAGATGTTTGAAGATTGGAACACCAGACTCGCCGATCATGGATTCAAAGTCAACATCAGCAAAACCAAAGCAATGAACACTGGTGAACCCATCCAATCCACAGCTACTGGACGATGGCCCTGTTCAGTTTGTAAAGCTGGTGTAGGTAACAATTCAATCAAGTGTCAGCAGTTCACCAAGGCTCGATTCTCAGTTCACTGTTATTTATAACTGTGATGGAAGAAATCACAAAACCGATACGCACTGGTGACATGGTCGCAAACAATCGAACAAGACATAAAAGCTCTAAATTTAAATGAAATGGATACAACTGATCGTCTAATTTGGCGCAAAAAGTTGATGTCAATGAAAACAACGTCCTACCTCGGGAAACCGGGTCTTTGGACGCAAAACGAAGATTGATTGATTGAAAAAGCGTTTGACAGAGTTCCTAGGGAAGTAGTGTGGTGGGCCTTGAGAAGTATGGAAGTTGAGGAATGGCTTGTGACAGTTATTAGAGCTATGTACAAAAACGTGACAACAATGGGGAGAGTGATAGTTTTGAAGTGAAAGTTGGTTTACATCAGAGTTCGGTGCTCAGCCCTCTGCTGTTTATTATTGTTTTGGAGGTTCTTTTGAAGGATTTGCGTGTTGGCTTGCAATGGGAGCTACTCTATGCGGATGATTTATGTCCTATTGCAGATTCTTTTTTTTATCATTCTTTAAAAATCAGGATCTGACAAACGCAGAAACTGTTATAGCATGCAGGCAGTAGTATAAAATTAAACGAATAAGTAAATAAACAAAAAAAAACGAAGAAAGAAGAATGTTTAAACATGAAAAGTGTAATAAAATATAATAAAATATATAGTAAAAAATAAATAAAAGAAAATAAAATAAATTGACAATAACATGAAGTAATGGCATAAAAAGGCAAATTAATAGACTAGATGATGACTTAGTGAGTTGATCGATAAATAAAAACTAGTTGTGTGGATGATAAAGTTTTATTGAATGTGTATATGTTTGAGGGTGTCCTGTGATGAAGGTCTCTTCCTGATATGTAGATTGGGTGGCGAGTTGATAGTTATGTTTGCGTTGACGAAAGTTGTGTGTTGTAGTTTTAATTGGTGGTAGAAAAAGATGGATGACGTGGTTGTTGTTATTTTTGAATCGAGTGTGTTGAATATCTGAGTGACGGTAAGATATGATGCAGGTAGATAGTCGAAGCGGATTAGTTTTTTGATGAGAGATTGTAGTTGCTGAAGTTGTGTAGCAAAACCAGACCAGGGGAGAGCTGCATATTTGATGTTTGAGATTAAGAGTGATTCAGTGATGTCGAATAATTTGAAGCCTCTGAGACCATGTGGGAGGAGTATTTTGAGTGCGTAAAATGTCTGAAAGCCTTTTGTGATGATGTGATTGATATGAGGTGCTATATTAAGTGTGGCGGTGAATGTGATGCCTAATATTTTTAGTTGACTTGTGCGAGTGATTGATGGGTGTTCTGGAAGTAATGTTATTTTCTTACGACTTTTGTGAATGATGAGTTTGAATGATTTATTGAGATTAAGTAACAGATGTTTTGACCATGTATTTAATGAATCGAGTTCTAATTGGATGGTGTTTGAGTTAGATGATGGGATAAAAAGGTAGGTGTCGTCAGCCTATTTGATGATGTGATTAGAGCTATGAAATGTTTTGAGAGTAAAAGCATTGATGATAAGGGTAGATGGTCCAAGGACAGAACTTTGAACTACGCTAGAATCAATAGATCGAGTAGATGAAAGAGTAGAGCTAAAGAAAGTAGAATTAATTAAATGTTGTCAGGTAGAAGAAGAGAGGCCAACTTATTTGAAAGTGAAAAGTGATTGAGAGTGTCAAACGCTTTAGAAAAGTTCAATAAGATGAACATAATTTTTATAATTAATGAAAGATGTTATTTTAGAAGTAAGAGAGATGATCACGGATGTTGATGAACCTGAAAGGCGAAATGCAAACTGATCTTGTAATAGTAGCACAATTGTTAATATTATTATTATTATTACAAATATTATTACTATTATTATCATTGTTATTTTTAATATTATTAAAATTAATAGTGTTATTATTAAAAATTGCTTGTAGTGTATTGTTGGTGGTGATGTTGAAGTCTAAGATATTAATGATGTCGATGTTGTTGAGATGTTGAAGGCAAGAATGTGAAAAGAATGTGAAAGATGACGACGGCGAAATGAGATGACTTTCCTCGTGGTGTTGTTTCTCGATGTTGAGTTAGTTGGTGGAGGTGGAGGAGGAGCAACCATCCTAAGATGATGTGTTGAAACGTGTGACCTATAAGTGTAAGTGATGTCCAGGTTTACTTTAATCCCATATATTCTGTCAAGGTGGTAACCTTGGTGGGTGGGACCCAAGAATATAGGATGTAGACCTTTTTGAAGGATGGAATGATGGTCGAGTTGATTGAAGTCACCCACAATGATGAGTTTTGAGCCGCTCCCCAACGCAGTGTTAGAGAGTTCATCGATGTAACCCATCAAGGTGGAGACTTCGTATGATGGATGATTAGGTGGATGATAAATGGCGCAGATGAAGTATGGTTCACTGTCAATAAAGCACTTGAGACAAAGGGTTTTCAGTGCATCATTGATAGCATGAGGCGAAACGATGTGAATTTGAGATGAGATAGATGACTTCAAATAGATGACAACTCCTCCTCCACGCCTCCTGCCAGAGCGGTCTTTTTTGAAGTGTGTAGCCATCTATTGCGATCAAACTATCAGGGTGATCTGGCCTTAGCCATAATTCGGTAATGATAATGATGTCAGGGTGGAGATGATACACATCACATTTCAAATGCTCATTAGCATGTGGCTTGACAATTTTTGTGACATTCAAATGTAAACAGTGGGTGGATGATGACATGGGGTGATTTTGGCTGGGTTTTAAGTCGGGGTAAGTTTGATATTGATGAGATTGGGATAATTAGGTGAGGAGCGTCGGTTGATGGACCGGGAGGGTTGATGTTGAAGTTGTAGAGTAGCGATTGAGGTAGATGAGCCGGGGGTATTGACGTTGAAGTTGTAGTGTTGTGGCGTTTGAAGAAAAGAGGAGAGGTGTTGATGTTGGCGATGATTTTGTTGATGAAAAGAGTTTTCTTAGCGGTCTTTTGATGGTGAATTTGTCGGGTAGAAAATCAAGCAGTTGTTGGCGTTTGTATCCATTGTTCATCAAATTGAGGGTATACGTCTGTAAGAACACTCCCTGAAAATTGTCGAGAAATTCATTGAGAGAAGATTAACGTCGTGCATCACAATCGGAAATTATCAATTTAGTTTCCTGGCGGGGTTTTCAACAATTGATGCAATTCAGATCCTTTGGAAACTGCAAGAGAAGTACCTCGCAAAGCATCAACAACTATCACACATTTTTGTAAACCTTGAAAAAGCATTTGATCGAGTTCCTCGTGAAGCAATCAGGTGGAGTCTATGTCGACAACTCATTCCAGAATATCTTGTTCGACTTGTGATGGAAATGTATACGAATACTTAGACTCTCGTCAGCACAACGGTTTGAAACACAGATGCATTTGACATCGGCGTTGGAGTTCACCAACGCTCGATACTCAGTCCACGGTTATTTATAACTGTGATGGAAGAAATCACAAAACCGATACGCACTGGTGACATTTGGAATCTAATATATGCTGGTGATATTGTTTTAACAACCACGTCTGAGCAGAATGCAGGAATGAAGCACAGATGTTTGAAGATTGGAACACCAGACTTTACTTTAATTAGTTATAAAATAATTATTTATTAAAATAAATTTAAGTATTTGCTGACATCACTTGTCTATAAAAGGTTATTAATTTTAATATTATTCAGAAGTTTACGCGTTGCAATTGCTATAGATCGGTACCTAATCGTTGCGATGAAAATGAATGCAAAGTATCTTGTGACAACGGAGAGATTTGCGGAGGAGAAGATGCTAAATTTCATTCGCTATATTCAGGTTTCGTCTGAAGTATTTTTGATATTGCTAATGGAATGAAATGCTATCGGCCTATATATATAATAAAAAAAATAAGAAATTAATTTTTATCGTTACAATAAGACTAGCTTGCATAAAAAAACATGAAAAAAAAATTCATTAGGTTGATATCTATTGAACGTTTTAGAAACGTACTAAAATCATATAATAAATAATTTTTTGATTTATCCTTTAGCTATTAAAACGCCTTTTTCATACAAATTGAAAAAAATTTATGATCTAATTTACTTAAATTTTAAATCAACAGTGTGCCTAAATAAAAAATATGGTCAAGATTGTTCCAAAGAATGTCTTTGCGCAGATGGTTGGTGTGCCACTGATGGAAGCTGTTCATCAAAAAATGTTTCTTGTAGTAGTAAGGCTACACCGGAATCTATTAAAGGATTGCTTTTTTGTAATCGTACGTTTTTGGAAATTAATCATATTTTAAAATCATATTGATTTCTGTTGTGTGTTATTACAAATGAACAAATGTGTACAGTGATAAGTATTTACTGTACGATTTTTACAATGCAAAGTTGCTTACATATCGTTCCTAATTAACTTAGTTGCAATTAATTTTTCATGTACTGTACACGCTTACCCCATAGTTTTTGAGTTTCAAGAAGAGCATAAATCTCGAATAACAAGATAAAAAGAAAAATGATGAATTTCACAATTAGAATTCGGAATTTCAAATCATTCGAATAGACAGACAGATACATATAAAATATAAATTGGAAAGAAATGAATATGATGTGATTGGTTTGGGCTAAGTTTCAAGGTTAGGAATAAAGGATGAACGTAAACGAAAAATATAATTTTTATGTGTATAAACAAATCATGTAAAATAGCGGTGAAACAATAGATATAAAAGAATTACTAAAAAAATTAATTAGGCAGAAAAACTCCAACATTTCAAACGACCGGTGTTACAGTGGCAATACAGTGGTTGACACAGAAAATGAAAAACTAAAAATGTTTTAAAAATGTTTGATCAAATTTAACAGTATACGTGTATCAATCAATCTTCGTTTAGCGTCCAGAGACCCAGTTCCCCGAGGTAGGACTTTGTTTTCTTTGCCATCAATTTTTTGCGCCAAATTAGACGATCAGTTGTATCCATTTCATTTAAATATAGAACTTTCATGTTTCGCTCGATTGTTTGCGACCAGGACTTTTTTGGACGGCCTTTGGGACGTTGCCAGGTATTTCAACATCTGCAAGAGAAGCTATGGCACTGTTTCCACTTCGTTTGACATGAAGAAACCACCGCAGACGGTGTTGCGGCATTCGTCCTATATATCATCTATACCGGCACGACGCAAGATTTCGGTTGATTTGATGTGGTCCTTCAGACTAGTTTGTTGTATCCATCAGAGCATTTTAATGTCGGTTCGTTGAAGTTGTTGTTCACAGATTTATAAAGTCTTGATCGCAGCATCAATATAGAGGCAAGGAGATGCCATTTATTCCAGGCTGCACGTATGCGTGCTCGAACGGCAGCTTCAGCTGTTCCAGTACAATCCAGAACATTTTCTACATATTGAAACGATGTGACTTTCTCTACCTTAATGACTTCAAAAACATTGCTATTTTGTATTTGTTGTTGTGGATTGATGCAAGCAGGACAAACAAAATTGGACACTTTATATAAAGTACCAATTGTTTTTGAACAACGTTTGTGACACTGCTGGCACTTGAACAACCTTTGTTACACTGCTGACAACGTTTTGAACAACGTTTGTTACACTGCTGACACTTGATTGAATTATTACCTACACCAGTTTTACAAACTGAACAGGGCCATTGTCCAGTAGCTTTGGATTGGATGGGTTCATCAGTGTTCATTGCTTTGGTTTTGCTGATGTTGACTTTGAATCCATGATCGAAGAGTCTGATGATTCAATCTTTAGACATCTGTACTGCATTCTGCTCAAACGTGTCTGTTGAAACGATATCATCAGCATATATTAGATTCCAAATGTCACCAATGCGTATCGGTTTTGTGATTTCTTCCATCACAGTTATAAATAACAGTGGGCTGAAAATCGAGCCTAGGTGAACTCCAAAGCCGATGTCAAATGCATCTGTGTTTCCAACCGTTGTTCTGACGAAAGTCTAAGTATTCGTATTCATTTCCATCACAAGTCGAACAAGATATTCTGGAATGAGTTGTCGACGTTGACACCACCTGATTGCTTCACGGGGAACTCGATCAAATGCTTTTTCAAGGTTTACAAAAATGTGTGATAGTTGTTGATGCTTTGCGAGATACTTCTCTTGCAGTTGCCGAAGGATGTGAATTGCATCAATTGTTGATTTCCCCGCTAGGAAACCAAATTGATAATAAATCGCGATTTAAATTGAACCAGTCAGCTAATGTGTTCTTGACGCAACCGTACCCTGGCTAATGTCATTCATAGACCAGAAAAACGTGACCTTAAATTTTTAAACAAATGAATTTTTTTTATAAACAATGAAAAAAATCTTACCAAAATACAATCTGTCAACGCCATTTGGCTACGGCTGTAGATACTTTCATACCTAATTGTTTTTGTGGCGCGACAACTGGAGTTTCTACACAAGTAGTCATCCGCCGTTGTTGTGCATTTCGCAAACTTTTTTTTATTATTTTTGAAAAAATTCAGAAACTAACAAACGAGAAAACTGTACAGCATGCAAGGCAATAGTATAAAATGATAACGAAAACTAGTTAACGGAGCAAAAGTGTTTAAGCATGATATCGTGACATGTCATTGTGGCTGCTATCAAACCATACTGTTTTTACTCTTTTGTGTTTAAAATACTAACTATCAGTTCAACCATTTTTATTCCTTTAACTGAGTGTTAAACAGCCATTTTAAGGTAAATTAACAATAAATTCTCTTGCAGTTGCCAAAGGATGTGAATTGCATCAATTGTTGATTTCACTGCTAGAAAACCAAATTGATAATTTTCGATTGTGATACACGACGTTAATTTTCTCTCAATGATTTTCTCAACAATTTCCAGGGAGTGTTCTAACAGACGTATACAACTCATTCCAGAATATCTTGTTCGATGTCTGGAATCGGACCTTCGATGGGTGGAGCGTCAAAGTTAACATTGATGGGATTTTTTTCGATTAACAGACGGTTGAAGTAGCTCTCCACTGTAGCTTGATTTCATCTTGTTCAAAAACAATCTCATTTTTGTAAATCAGAAAATAATTGAAGAGGTAAAAAGAGCAAAGTATTATGGGATAATGCTTGACGCATCACCTGATGCCCCTCACCAACACCAATTAAGCCAAGATTATGACAATGTTTCAGTAATGTCAGGTGTTCATTCTGGAGTACAAGCCAGGATCCATCATATTAATCAGAATATTTTATTTGCACCTTGTTTTAATCATTCGCTTAATTTAAGCGGGATTAACACGTCTGAAAGCAATTAAACCAAGGTAACATTTTTTGGAATAAATGAAAGCCTTTAAAACATCTTTTCTTCATCAACTCATAGACTTGATATTTTGTCAGAAGCAATCAGGATGAATGCGAAAAGGCTAGCAGGAACCTGGTAAGTGAGCAATATCATGCAGTGAAAATTGTAATGAGCAATATGCTCACTTAGTTGAAATTGGTAGAGGCACTAGAAAAATTATGTGATACATTAGAAAATTTAAATACAAAAGTTCAGCTCAAATTTTAATGAAAAATAAATATTCAAGATTTTAATTTTTTTATTTATCTTCATTTCTTTCTTATCTTCATTTTTCAAAAATACCAACAAATAGAGAAATTGGTTCAGATAAAACCAATGAAAAATTAGATGCTTTGAAACTTTTCCTGCAAGGATCGTCGCGACAAACTGGTTGAAAAGGCATAGAAATTTTTTACAGAAGTTTGTGAAGAAATGGAAATACCCATGAAAAAAATTGAACCAAAAAAGTCTAAGAAAGCCAGGTGATGATGAAGCTTTAACATTGAAGCAAGAATTGAGACGAAATATGATTTCAGTCACTTTATAAATTTTTTCAAGATTATAGGAAAAGGAGAGAATCAATGCCTAATGTATATGTAAAATTTGTAGCCATTCATTTATCACATTTTATTGGATTAGAGATAGATGAACTTTTAGAAGCTGATGCCAAATTTTACAATTACGTTTGATGAACTATAAGAAAATGAAGAAATACCCGAAATTAAATGTTAATGCTATAATGTGTTTTCAACTGATATGATTGCAAAACCATTTTGCTTGATTCATTATAGAATTCATTATAACCTCTAATTGGCTTCGATTTTAAAAAGCTTCTTTCGCAAGAAGAAATTGAAAAGCCGCTGACAAATATATCTCGTTTTGATTCTCCAAAGCATTTGTTTAGACTTGTGTTTTAACAGTTCGACAACCAGGTCTGCCACAAGAAGTCTATGTTGGGCGACACATGATTCGCCAGGTATAACTTTGAAATTTTTGAATAGTCTTCGGTGTTGTTGCTTGACAGCGAAGAAATCAATTTGCGCGGCTGATGGTCCACTTTTGTATGTTATGAGACGTTTCAACCTCTTTCTAAAATATGTGTTCAGTAAACAAAACCCGTAACTTTCAGCAAACTCAAGGATGCGGTTGCCATCTTCATTCCGTTCTCCATAGCCAAAACTACTATGTACGTTGTCAAAACCATCAGTTTTCTCTCTAACGTGGCCGTTGAAATCGCCTCCAATCAGGATTGTTTCAGATTTTGGTATTGTTGAGATGGTTTCAGAGAATGCAGTCCAGAAGTCGTTTTTCATCTCTTCTGATTCGCCTGTCTGTGGTGCGTATGCAGAAAAAATAATCATTGTTTGCTTTTCTATGCCAAGCTTGATCCACATAAGACGTGAATAACTTCTTCCAAATTATTTGAAAAAAAAGTCAGGAGATCAAAAAAGTAACAAAAGTACTTTCGAAGATCACCATAACTAAAATCAAACAAAAAATTACAATAATAGACTAATAATAATACATTCATAAAATTAGTTAAATACATTTAGCAACCACGTTAATAAACAAATAAATTTCATAAAAGAGTACTGAATCACACAACAAAATGAAGGTCATACGTAAACACAGTCAATTAGCACGCCCATATGTCATCCCAGCGTCTTTTGCACATAGCTTAAATCCCTTCAAAGACAGATGTGTTTGACCATCCATGGCCAAATCATTCCATAATTTTGGACCCCTTATTATCTAGCTACGTTCAACTACGTTGGTAGGTGGAAGTTTTAAATTTTTTTAACAACAATTGACCACGTTGCCTGGTAGTTGTCCGAACCCTATCAAGAAAATTTAACTGCTCATAATCTTTATTAATAAGTATTTCATAAACAAATACCAGCAGAATAAAATTATGTAATTGTTCTATTCTAAAAATTTGATGGTTACAAAACACGTCATCAGTATGATCGCGAAAGTTCAAAGAAAAAATTATTCGCATAAAACGTTTTTGCATCACTAAAACTTTATTGATCCAATATTTACTGGCGAATCCCCAAAACCCATTTCCATATAACAAATGTGGAAAAAAAAAAGAATAATAAAGTAAGATCATTGACTTGACATTCAACCTGTGTCTCACTCTAAACAGAATCCCAACCGGACGGTACAGCCTATGGACCATCATGTCGATGTGCTCATTCCATTTCAGATCACTTTGTATAATAGTTCCCAAAAATTTTACCGAATGAACCTGTGGAAAAGATATGCCCTGGATAATCAGCTCCAAGCCACTCAGGGACACCTTGTTCGTTTTTATAGTGGGACCAAAGATGACATAACAAGACTTGGATATGTTCACTGTCAGCCGATTGGACAAAAACCAATCATAAATCACACTAAGCTGGCTATTCATCTCCGTGAATAAGTCAGGCAGGCTCTTACCTGACAAAAAAATACTGGTATCGTCAGCAAATAACATCACAGTGCATCTATCGGATACAGAAAAGATATCGTTCACAAATATTATAAACAACAAAGGTCCCAATATGGGACCCTGAGGGACACCTGTTAGAATCCTTAAAGAGGATGACACAACATTGTCAATAGAAACATACTGACTACGATCAGTTAAGTAAGATCTGAACCAATCAAGAACAATTTCACGAAACCCATATTTAAACAATTTTCGAAGCAGACTTTCATGGTCAATCACATCAAAAGCCTTTTTCAGGTCGATAAACACACCTAAGCTGAAATTACCTTTATCAAATTTCTCCAAAAGAGACAAGTGCAGAGTTGCACTTGTCTCTTTCTCAGTAGAGGACTTCGGAACAAAACCGTATTGGTGTTTATTAATCACACTATGTTCAATTAAAAAACTCCACATTCTATTGAAATATTTTAGAAAATACTGGTAATGTTGAAATTGGTCGGTAGTTACCAAACAGTCGGATCGCCACTTTTGAAAATTGGCAATTAATCCTTTTAATATCCAGTACTTCTTGGGCTAGCGGTTCTCTGACAAAAATTCCAACACCATTTTTGGCCGTCTTTTGACCATTCCAGAATAGTTTATATATATATATATATATGTTGGTAATAGACCATAATTTTTACAATATTCTATAAATTCTACCGAATGTATATTAACGCCAAACATTCGGTAGAATTTATAGAATATTGTAAAAATATATATATAATATATATATATATATATATATATATATATATATAAATTCTATAAATTCTACCGAATGTTTGGCGTTAATATGTTTGTAGTTCGTTTTTTCGATTTTTCTCACTAAAGTTTTTTGGTGAACGTTTAGTTTATTAAAATTCAAAATAAACTCAATTTTCGAATTCATGCTGCAAATAAGGCCATATTTCGATTCCGAATGAATCATCGTCAGTGTTCCTTGTTGTATATATAGGGAAATATTGACTTTGTAAAAATTAACTTTGGTGTTGTAAAATTGAACTTTGATGCGAATTAGGTGTCAGGTTTCTTAATTGTCAATTCTTTGGTCTCCTTTTCTTCATCGATAGCATCATATTCTTCTTTGTCACTGTTTACGATGCTAGTTTTTATTACTTCTTTGTTTTCGATGTTGGTTAAGCGCCGGGTTGGAAGTGAGGTTGTCATTTTTTGTTTTATATTTATTTTTGGTTTATTGATGTCGATTAGGACTGCTTCTGCAATTTTAAGATGCGTGTAGTTGTTGTTCTGGTATATTACTTTGGTGTTGCTGTCGAGGATTTCACGGCTAATTGTGATTGAGTGTGTTGAGTCCAAATGAGATTTGATAGCACCACTCTGTTTATGCATCGTAAGCCTTCTAGTCAGTGAGGTAGTAGTAATCCCGATATATGAGTCATGTTGACGTGCACAGCCGTCAAAGGGGCAATTAAATTCATATCATATATTCATATATAACAAGCAGGTTAGTGACCCTCTTTAATTCAGCGTCGCGATTTTCAATATCGGAAGAGTGTGTGAATGCCCGGTTCACAAATGATTTTATTGTGCTGTCTTTAAATTGTTCAGTGCATTCACTTTGTCCATTCAAACAAATTCCTGTATTCGTTTCTTTGACATAGACCGCAGTTTTGAATCGTTCTTCGCCACGGGTGACCAGCACATCGAGGAAGGTAAACGTTGTTCCTTTTCACTTTCAATGGTAAATCTAAGTTTTGACTTGTTTAAGGTACCAAGAAGTTGGGTGATTTGTTCAGGATCGTTATAGGAGACAAAGATATCATCCACGTATCTGGCGTAGATATTTGGTTTTAAACTTGCATTGTTTTTGAATGTTTCATTCTCTAGCTGTCCTAAGTAAAAACTGGCAAATAGGACGCCAAGGGGGGAACCTATAGCGACACCATCGATTTGCTTGTAAAGTTTGCCTGTGGGGCTGTGGAATGGTGCTTCAGTAGTGCAAATTTGAAGAAGGGACTTCAGTTGTGCTTTCGGTATGTTCAATGGAACCATATCTGAGTGATAAACGGTGTTGATAATTATGTCGATTGTATCATGAATTGGTACATTTGTGAATAATGATTCAACATCCAGAGAGGCAATAAATTTGGAGGATGGTTTATTAATGCTGAGGAGATTAATAAATTCACGAGAAGATTGTAGTGTGTAATTGTTTGGAATATATGGGGTTAGAATTTTGTTCAAGAATTTTGCAGCAGGGTAGGTGACAGTTGTAATTTGGCTAATAATTGGTCGGATGGGATGATTCTTTTTATGCGTTTTTATATTTCCATATAAATAGCCAGGAAAGTATTTGCCTATAAGTGATGGAAGTTTGTCATCGGTGATGTGCTTTCTTATCTTCTTGATTATTGTGTTTAGTTTAGTTTTTAGTTGAGGAGTGGGATCTATTTTTGTTACTTGGAACTTTTTTGTATCATTGAGAACATCATTGAGTTTTTCATGGTAATCGGCTCGGTCGATAATGACATATTGTGCAGATTTATCTGCGCGTCTTATTACGATATCTTTATTCTCCCTAAGTTGCTTCGCCGCATCCTTCATCTCCTCAGTGAGTAGCTTACTTTGAAAACTACCTCGTGTTTTCTTGGCTTCAGCTTGAAGCTCAATGGCAACAGAGGGGTTGACGCTTAATTTACTTAATCTACTTATATATATATATATAATATACATATATATATATATATACACCGGATTTAGGTTTTTCAAAAACCAGCCAGGGTCGTATTTTAGTTACCATTTTACATACGTTAGAAAAAATACTCACATTTACGGTTATCTACATGTTGAACATCAAAAAATAACACTAAGCAAATAGTTAATTCAAATATATAAATAAGCTGTGTGATACGCCAAATTCTTTACACAAAGAACAGCTTATAATTTATGCATAACCCATGTTATAGCATAAAGAAAATTGTCCAGCTCACCTCACAACTAGTGATGTTGTTATTATGTATCATGTATGCTTAATTGCTTAGCCTTTAACTTATTGACATGAAATTAATTGAATTCAATAAAAAAATTTTTTATATTCATAACATTTTTAAATGTTGATAGACGCTTAAATCCGGCCCTAAATGCGGCCACCAGATTTGAAAAAAAGACGAATTTTGGCCAGAGCAGAGGCCGAACTTTGGTGCATTCCTAATATATACCCAAATTCTTATATTCTGGTAGAAGACCAAATTTTTGACAATATAAATATTTCCGATTTATTAGTGATGATCAACTTATATTCGAATTTTTCAATTTGTCTTAGTAAATTTTTATCGACAAAATTAAGTCTGTTCAAAATTGAAAATTATTAACAAACTTTTTATTGAAATTATCGAAGATAGATTTATTTCGACGTTAAACTGTCATCCTCAGTGCATTATTTATTGGTTTAGAATAGTAGTTTTAATATTATTAAAAATATATTCAAATAAATTCGAAAAAGGAACATGAAATTTTAATGAAAAATTTTATTAACGAATAACTTGAAAAATTTTTTAAATTTGAACGATAATGTCCAGGTAGCAACAACAGCGTCAAAATTGTGAGGCGCGAAATTAATTCAATTTATTATTATTATATTATTGCGCTTGTATTGAAACAAGAGAGCCGTTTTAACGTTGCTTACTGTTTTATTGCAATAACTTGATTTTAAGGGTTTTAATATATTTTAATTTTTGGTTGGTAGTGTTAGGGAAATTGAGAGCATAATGGCGTTCTATTTTAGTATGGGTTTTAATAAACAATTAAATTTTAAATTAATTCTTTTCCTAATTCTAGTTTTTAAATTTTTAAATAATGTAAATGCGACGAAATGCCCTTATTGTTTCAATAATTTTAAATTCGTAAATAGACACTCCTGTCGCTGTATGAAAAATACTATGCACGAATCTACTAGATTGAAGGTTTCTATGAAAGAAAATATTAAAATTTCTCATATCATTTTAACAGATATTAACAATATAATTAATGATATTGATAATAATTCTGATAATATGTTGCGGTGTGAATGTGGTAAATACTGCAAAGGGAGAAAGGGATTACTAATGAACCGTCGAACTTGCAAAATGTTCAAATCGCTGAAAACAACCGTACCGGACGTCGAAACAACTAAATCAGAAAACGAGCTCCAGCAGTTTTAACACACAACTACGTCCTCAGCAACTCCAAACTCACTTCCGGGTATTAAACTGCCAAAAACGCAAGGCCAATGGGCTGAGGCTAACGCATATTTTCATCAGAAATTTGTGGACTTATGTGTTGTTGAGGATATTAACCATTTTACCTCAACCTTCCAAAACACAATCTACAACTACTTCGCCAATACGTTTGGAACAGTTAAACCCAAAACATCAACAAATCAAAATTCCGTCATTAAACAACTCAAAAAGAAATTAAAGAATTTGAAAATTCTCGGACCAACAACAACTCGTTCAACAATGACATAATTGCTGTCAGCAAATTGATAAGGTCCAAGCTTCACCACTCGAAGCGTCCAGGTAAATCGGCTGATCAATCCGACGTTTCAATTCAACTATCAAAGAACTTTTGGAAAGCATGTAAACAAATTTTCTCGCCCACCACAACAACACCCCCATCATTCGATGTTGAAAAAGGGAGCGATTTCTTCTACAGCGCTATGAAAGCCGACGACAAATGTAATTACAACATTCCGGACTGGATCCCGTCTTTGTCGTTGCCCTCATTCGGTGGTGATGTCGGTCCTCCAGCATACGAAGAAGTTTCAAACATTGTTCGTAGAAGTAAATCTCGCGCCTCTCCGTGTCCATTGGATCAAATATCGATAATAGCTTTCAAAAGATGTCCAATTCTTAGAACCTTTCTCCATAAGTTACGGTTAAAATGCTGGGCATCATCTACGATACCAAATTGTTGGAAATAAGCTTTAATCTACAAAAAAGGGGATCCCAACGACCTGGCTAATTTTCGTCCTATAACCCTTCAATCAACCGGCTACAAAATATTTTCAACTCTAATAAAAAATAGACTTTACAATTTTCTACAACAAAATAAATTCACCAATACCAATATTTAAAAAGGTTTCTATCCGAAGGTGGACGGTTCATTGGAGCATTCCCAAATGTTGACCCACCTGATGAAGGATGCAAAAAACACCAAAGAACAATAATCGCCGCACTGCTAGACCTCAAGAATGCGTTCGGCGAAGTTAGTAACCTGTTAATCAACTCGATCCTTTCATATCATCAAATACCACAAATAATGAAATCGCTAATATTATCAATTTACTCTGATTATTCAACAATAATATCTGTCAACAGTGAACTGACGCCAGTCAGAAAAGGGGTGCTCCAGGGTTACCCGTGCTCCCCTTTAATATTTAATTTATGCTTCAACCCCCTGATGAAGGTTCTCAATACAGAGCAGTATGCCAATTGTGGCTATTTCTGGGGACCAACTGCGGGTTTAAAGATTAGATCCTGGTTTCAGTTTGCTGATGATTCAGCTATAGTTTCACATAGTTCTGAAAGTGCACAAAAATTGATAGTGGTGCACGTGGTCGAACATGTAGATGAG